GAATACGCTAAACTCTGAATAGGCTTTCCACTCCATTTTTAGCAAAACAGCATGTTTATTTAGCTCTTTGGCTGCAGCTTTAAAGCCATTTAATGTAATGTAAACAAGAACATTTTGTTTGTAATTTGCTAAATGTCTTACAGCCCGACTGTGTCTCCAATTAGGAACTTAAGGTTCATTTAGTCATTTACATCTGGTTCTGATTTAAGGTGACTTTCCTTTTTCACTTAGGAGCCGGCTTGCTGTGGCTAAAAAGGACCCAAGAACACTTTATAGCTCTTTGGACCAACCCTTTCTGCTTCAAAGTGGGACGAGCTCTTTTATTTTGTAGGGTTTTATTTGTTCTGTATTGTCACTGTGAACCCAGATCCTCCACTACAATGACCAGAATCAGAGAGTTCAGAAATAATGGAGGTAGACAGGAAATTTAGCTGGGACCTCATAAAAAAGATGCTGAGGGTTGCTGAAACTCCAAGGATCCTAATACAAAGGGTGTGATATTGTTAACTTATTATTTTTCTTTCTCTGTAGGTTCCAGTCAGTGAAAGATAAGTAGCAGAGACCAACATCACAGCAATACTTATGTTTTATTTCCTTCTCCATCTGGTGCCTTTTAAACAACTTAGTATGCTTCTGAAATGGGCTCTCCATTGTCTTACGAGTCATTAGCATTTAAAACCCCCGGCTGGAATCCCAAACACAATTCTGCTCCCATTCCAGATTCAGTACCATCTTCCAAAGTATTAAAATGGGGAGATCTCTGATATGTGGAGTTTGTTCAGTGGCTTTGGTAGGAATGATTCATAAGGGAGGTTTTGTGTTCCTTGAGGATTTTTATCGCTTCTTTCAGCTTCCTTTTGATTTCTCTTCTTTGAAAGATTCTTCACAGAAACCAAAGTACATATTGTTTCTCACTCACCATGGATTCTGAAAATAAAGATCTGCCCTTCTGCAGTGGCTTCTTACTCCCGCCTATACTCCACAATGAGGAAGCATGTGATATAAACACACAGCAGCTCTATTAGTCATGTTCCCTCTGGCTGTCAAGAAAACATTCAATTGTAATCTCACTAATAGCCGTTTTTCCTTAAATATTGTAATTTTCTGAGGCCCCCAGTAAGTCATCAATAATTTTGTCCATTTTTCCCAGTTTGTGTTTATATTTGTAGCTGTTCATAATTGTGGGCTATGATGACAACAGGATTTTGGGACAATTGTGGCACATGAAATCTTAGCCTTCCACCGGAACCAGCTGCCTACACAATGCCAACAGCATCACATGGTTGGTTCTGTAACACGCATATTTGTCCAAAATTTTGAATTTTAATAGTATGCCTCGAATCTGCTCCAGGAATGTTCTTTTAAAAATACATAGCAGTATGTGTGCTCCCCAACTTGAATATTAAATGAGAATAAAACACAATTAATTTAAGTTTGAAACGGAGATATTATTGTATGTTGGCACAATGAGTTAACATAAAGGGAGAGAACAGGTGGTAATCTACTATTATAACACTTTGGGATATTTTGCTGAAATTTTCTGGATGCCCAAATGTGCATTTCAGGCAGGCACGTTTGCTCTGCTGATGACTCTAGCAAACTGCTAGAGAAGGGCTGCCGCGAAGCAGCAGAGCGGTGGTCCAGCCGGTGCAGTGTGCTCCCTTTTGTAAGCAGTGTCTGATTTCATTAATTTGACCCTCTCCCTGCTTGGTTCTGGCACAGGCCTGCATCCAACGTGTATCCTACACCATATCTTTTGGCATAATCTGCAGCCTCACTCTCTTGATTAAGCAAGATCATCTTTTACTTGCAAATGATAGGCCACGTTGGACTTCTGTGAAGTCAAAGGAGCATACAGCATGGGGACAAATCATTTTAGAGTGACCAAAACTGTTTTGGTCATCCCAATGCCTTGTTTCGGTAACTCTTAAACAAGTGTTCCAATTTTAAAATATTTACTTTTGTAAGATAAAAAATTTATTTCTCTCAATCTTGGCATAATTGTTTAGCAAGTGGATTTTGATTGAGAAATTGCTTTATGATACCAAATGATTTATATGTCAACTATTATATAACTTTATCCTTTATAAAATGAATTTGCTCTCCCAAACCCTATTTTCATTGAGAGACAACCCAAAGGTAGACTCATTACAAGTTACTTACTAAACTAGGCAACATATGAAACCTGCAAGAGAGTAACATACAAAAGAGAAAGAGAAAAATATTTGCCATCATACGTAAACAATTAAAAAGCCTTGCACATAATCATAATTATATCCACATTAGGGAGACCAGCCTCGATTCTGAATGCCAGAATGGGAAAATGGGAGTGACTTCTCTTTTTAACATGACAGTAGTGAATCTTATACTTTTGGGGTCTGTAAATAACTTTGATGATCAGACAAAATGAATGCAAAATATTCTACCTTAATATTCTCCTCTTGCTATATTAAAAATAAAGAGTATAATAGAATTAGTGGGAAGAAACCTGCTGCCTGATATTTACTGCCTTGAGGAACTACCTGATTTTCATCATAAGAACATTACTCTTTTCCATCAGAAACATGAGAACGGGGATTTATTTTTTAATATTGACAATGTAAAGAACCAGTCATGGGCTAGGGAAGGCCTTTGCAGACCTCCCTCTTTAAAAACCACTGCTCTTGAATATGGAAAATAATTATGAAATGTAACTGGGGTCAGATGATAGATAAGAGAAGTAAGGTGAGTGGCAGAGCAGGCAATTGATGTTTCCAGAAATGAAGTGTTTGGCAAAGTGGACACTAAAGAGGCACAAATGAGCCTTGAAACGATACTCCCAGTTCAGTCACTGAGTCTTAGGTAGGGAAGAGGGGCTGAGCCTTCACAGGGGAATCATGTGTCTTCAGATAAACAAGAATTGCTGTACCCAATCCCTAGGGAAGGGAATTGCTTTTGGGATGCTTTCTCCAGGAAATTTTGTCTCACAAAGCAACAAAGTTTATGGTACTGAAGCCAGGTGCATATTCAAGAATGTACAGAGGGCTTACTGGAGCAGAGAGCGAGCTACGTCTTCATACGTGGCATCATGGGTGGAGCAGGGAGGCCTTAAGGTGACATTAAGGGAACAGGGAGGGGGTTGGGATTGCTGGTTGGAATACACTTAGTTTCTCATTCAGTGAGGCTCTGCTGAATGGAGAAGTGAAGTCACTGTACAATTCGCCCTGATTGTCCAACATCAGTTGGGAACCACACCTCAGGTTTGGCAGTGTGAGAGCAAACGGACCCAAGTTAGAATAGAAACTAGCTTTAAAATTCTGCAATAATATGTTAGGTTTCAATTAGAATCCCATAATACAATGTCAACTACCCTCTTATGGTGAGTGGGCATTTTAATCGAGTGTGCAGAGAACGTTTCGGTGGTGCGTTTCCTGTTCTTAAAGAAAACTCTTGCAACACAGAGCTCCATATGGCAGGTCTGTGTGTTTTCCTAGGACAGTACCCCTTCAGGCTGGCAATCTTGAAAAGGATGTAGGGAAATACTAGAGATTTCAGATAGCAGAAGACAGTTTTGACTTACAGAAAAGAGAAAATGGAGGGACCTGAAAGAGCAAGTTCTATGTTTCCTTAGCAACTGGTTTTGTCATTATCCCCATCATTGATTTCATAGGGTTTGTTAGGAAAAGCATTGTAAGTTGAGTGACAAGTTTTATTCATGGTAATTCTATGTACCAGGTATGTAATTGTAGATAAATCATTCAACACAATGGCGTTCTGTTTGTCTTATTGTCAGTTCTATCCTCAGTGCCTAGAACACTGCCTGGCACATACGTGCTCAACAAATATTTGTTGAATAAACAAATGAATGAATTTAATTAATATGGCCCTATTTTGTAATCTGCAAAATTTGGGTAATAATTTCCCTGTATATCTATGAGTATTGAGTAGAACAAATCAAATAAATCATGCAAAACTGCTTTGAAAACTATAAGACATTATACCTTACAGATATTAATATATAATATCAACATAATATATAGATCCTTATAGATGCATAAATAGGTGTGGGCTTTTCTGTATTTTATAAAATTCCTGGATATGATAAGGTAAGATTGATGTCTCTAAGAATAAAATATGAGACTAGTTCATCATTAATGCAATTCAGAATTCTGCAGTGGCTGAAACTGCATCTACATAGTTATTTCAATCACTTATTTTAATGAGAATGCTTTTAAATTTTTCTTTGTGATGCTGAGATTTTTTTAGACGGTGACCATGGCCATCTAGTTCCTGGTTTAGAAATGTGGGATCAACATTGCTTCTTTGTTTAGGTGTGCTCCATCCTCTCACTGAACCCTCACTCTCTCTGTGACTCCAGTCCTCTTTAAGACCTCTGAGCCATTTGTGCCGTGTCCGTGGTGTCTCACGTGACCTTCCCTAAGCATGGTCCTCAGTCACACCACAGCAATACATGAGAGAAGGAAAAAACCAGGCATCTGGTCCCATTTAACACGGCCTAAAAATATGGTGTAAAAACATATGGGGGATTGAATAACAGCCCCCGGCAGTCTTTAGGGAATGGCTAGGGGCGGAAACCCTTGAATTTGAGGTTCATTTAGCAAAGAGCAAAGAGGGTTTTGATGACAAAATGGTAAATAGTAAGTGCTGGAGAGAGGTGTGGACAATTTTCAAAATACTTTTAGGACTTTTTTTTTCAGTCTTTATGTTCACATTGGCAACATTAAGGAATAATGCAATCCTGGCTGAGATATGTAAAAGTGCTTCTAAAAGTCTCTACACTATATAAACTTTGAAACAAAGGAATCAACATGCTATTTATGGAGGAGTAATAAAGGAGTACAACATTATGTGAACATCTCAGAAAGTCTGGTTTGGATGGGGACACATTCTCAGCATCTGTTCTGGAATCTAAAGAATTTACTAGAAGCCCTGGCAAGCCATTTCTTCAGACTGCACCATCTCAGCTTATGTGGATTCCCACTCCGCTGAGAATCCCTTACCTGTTTCTGCTCTTCTCCTAAGCCATCCCACATTGAAGCCACAATTTTAGAGACTTCACCAAAGGTAGCATTTGGATTTTGGCCCTTGATGGCGGCCTGAGTATCACGAAAGAATAACGCATAGGCAGACACAGGCTTCTGGGGCTCATTGGGATCCTTCTTCTTCTTCTTTTTGGGAGTTTTTGGTTTTTTCCCCATATCGGAGGCAGGCCGCTTCTCTCCACCATTGATCTGAAAGAGAAGTAAAAATAGAATTATAGGGGAACTGAGACAATTTGGGGACAAGATATATTGTTGTTTTCCTTTGAGACTTAGACACATACACTCACCCATTCACATCACTCAAACACAGGCTTTTCTAAGGGACATATTGCTTTGTTATTGTTTTTATTTTTTCCCAGATGAAACTGCATATTTCAAGTAGTCTTCATATTCATCCTACTCCCAACTTTACTTACCTAGCTTTTTTTTTTTTTTTTTTTTTTTTTTTGAGACGGAGTCTCACTCTGCTGCCCAGGCTGGAGTGCAATGGCGCGATCTCGGCTCACTGCAAGCTCCGCCTCCCGGGTTCACGCCATTCTCCTGCCTCAGCCTCCCGAGTAGCTGGGACTACAGGCGCTCGCCACTACGCCCGGCTAATTTTTTTGTATTTTTAGTAGAGACGGGGTTTCACTGTGTTAGCCAGGGTGGTCTTGATCTCCTGACCTCGTGATCCGCCCGCCTCGGCCTCCCAAAGTGCTGGGATTACAGGCGTGAGCCACTGCGCCCGGCCCCACTTACCTAGCTTTTAAAAAAAGTTGGCTCTTTTTATATTATTCACTATTAAATATAATCCCTTAACATTCCTAACTTTTTCTCTTACACTGTAACTGTGTCAACAGCAGATTTCTCTTGTAGTAACACCATTGGATGAACAATCTAACTTGTTTTCTTCTAAGGAAGTTATCTCCCTCCCTCCCTTCCTCCCTCCCTCCTTTCCTTCCTTCCTGATGGAGTCTTGCTCTGTCGCCAGGCTGGAGTGCAGTGGCATGATCTCAGCTCACTGCAACCTCCACCTCCTGAGTTCAATCGATTCTCCTGCATCAGCCTCCCCAATAGCTGGGACTACAGACGCGTGCCACCACACCTGGCTAATTTTTTGTATTTTAGTGGAGATGGGTTTTTACCATGTTGGCCAGGATGGTCCTGATCTCCTGACCTGATGATCCATTTGCCTTGGCCTCCCAAAGTGCTGGGATTACAGGCATGAGCCACCGTGCCTGGCCATCCTTGTCTTTCTAATTACGGCTTTCAAACCTTGGGGGCAGCATGTCCAATAAATAAATTCAAATGGCTTTTGACTTTGCCCCTAGGTCTATGGAATGCTGCCAGGAAAACCCAGCGATGCTCATGGTTTAAAGAATGGTATGGTCTAGACCCTAGATCAGTGCTGTCCAATGGAACTTTCTCCAATGACGGAAAAGTTCTACGATTTGCACTATTCTATATGGCAGCCACTAACCATATGAAGCTAGTGAGCACTTGAAATGTGACTAGAGTTAATCAGGAGCTAAATTTTTAACTTTTCAAATTTAAATAGCTACATATGACAAATGGCTACCATATTGGAGAGTGCACCTCCAGAAATTAGATTCTAGAGCGTTCTAGAACAGGTTTTTACTCAGTTTAAAAGTAGATTATATTTTCTCCCATGTTCCTAAAGTATGAATATTTTGATAATTGTAATTGTTATTCTGATACAACTGGGATTACACATTGAACATATTTAAGATGGCTGCATTTGAATATTATCTTTGTTACTAACTAGATGTGAGAGTAATTCATCCACCTCTAAAATAAAGCATTGTGGATAGGATTTATTTCCAGCTCTAAAATTAATATGAGTCTACATGAATACAAATAGGGCTGCATCTGAAGGATTCAATTTCCACATGCCTTGCCCACTAATGAAGTGTCAAGGCAGCTTCTGTACCCTCACCTTCTATTGTGGTGGTTGTAGTTGGCTTCTCTCTGCAGATATAATGTAATATATATCTTATTTAGATAAATTGCTAGGTGGGGTATTTGTGTAAAATAACTGCCACCATTGGAGATGAAACATGATGTACAGAGAGGTCTGTGGATATGATTTCAGAGGACCTTGCTTCATGCCCTCTTTTTACTATTTTTAGCTGTTACCTTGGTTAAATTAATTTCTCCAGGCCTCTGTTTCCTCTAGTGAAAACTAGGTATGGCACCATCTTATAATGACTAAGATGGTATATATTTACATATGTGTAGCACTTTAAAAGGTATTCAAATATCAATTATGACATGGTAGAAACTTTCAAAATAATTCATTGAATGAGTGGATGGAAAATACTTTAATATTAATATGTGATACCTTATAATCAGTATGAAAGATATACCAAAAAGAGATAAGAAAAAGCTAAGTGATTTCTTTGTCTTTGTCTTTATTGAGCAATCTACTAAAAATATTATCATTCTGAAATTGTCTACTGAAGCAGATCAAAGAACCCCAGAGGGACAGGATGCTGTGAACCAAGTTGACAAGCTAATGTAGATTAACGCTAGATGATAACTTCCCTGAGATGGATCACAGAGGTGATCCTGTGAAGTCATTGGCCACCATGTAAATCTGTCAGAGACTCAGCATGTCTGGTGCTCGATACTGGACAAACTGGCATAACAATGCTGTATTAAAACACATAGGCATATATATGACCTAGAATGGTGCTTCTCAAACATGACTGCACATTAGAGTCACCTGGTCAGCTTTTAATACCCTGATGCCCAGGTCTTACTCTACACAGTTTAAAGCAGATGCCTAGGGGTGGGAGCCTGGCCTCAGTCACACGCTCTGAACTCTACTCTTCCAACTGGCATTTCGATATCCTGAGAGACAAAACAAACAAGCAAAATTTTTCTGTGCCCAAAGCCTACCCATGGCCATATTTTTCTCCTTTTCACAACTAAACTCCTCCAAATGGTTGGCTGTGCTGGCCTGATGCAACCTCTGCAACCTACTTCAGCGTGCTTTCCTATCACTTAGCTCTCAATTAGATCTCCACTGGCCACACTGCTGAATCCAGTGGATGCTTGTGTCTCCCCCTTACCTGATTCTCACTGTGAGGTCCCTCTCTCCCACTGGTTCCCTAACATCACCCTCTCTGAGTTCTACTCCTACCTCACTGGCCCTGATGTTTCCAGGATCATTTCAGGGTCATCCTTTTCCACCTGGCCATTAATTGGTAGCATTCCTGATTTGTTTTGCAGTAAACTCCCTTCTCTTGTGAGCGCACTTAGGTAATCTCACACGTAAGCAGGGTTTCCATTACTATCTGTGGGTGGATGGTTGTCAAGTTCATGTTTCCCCTGAGTTTTGCACACACAGAAACAACTGTTATTGACATCTCTATTTCCAAGTCTCAAAGATATTTCAAACTTAAGTCAAGCTTATTTAGTTCTGTATATTTCCATTCATAGCATGTATCAAACTTGTAATGATACAATAATGTATATGGTTGTTAGATCTACTCCTGTCTGCGTGTAGGCACTATGAAGGCACTGGTTTTGCTCACTAGCACATATCATGGTGCTACCTGATATGTGATACATAGTAAATGCTTAACATTTGTTATAGTAGTAATAAAAATAATAATGCAAAATGATAATATTTTGTAAACACGGCCATTCTTACATTCACAATCATAAAATATTTATTTAAAAGGAGAAAAAAGGAGCCAACAAGATCCACAATGAAGAATATTAAAGATAGAGTGGTCTAGGATACAGGCTTTCAGTTATAAGATGAATAAGTTCTGGGGATCTAATATACAGCACAATGGCTATAGTGAATACTGTGTTGTATACTTGAAATTTGTTAAGAGAGCAGGTTTAAAGCATTCTCATTTAAAAAAAAGTGAGGTGACAGATAGGTTAATTAGCTTATTGTAGGTAATCATTTCACAACGTACACATATATCAAAACATCATGCTGTACACTTGAAATACATACAACTTTATTTGTCAATTATACCTCAATAAAGCTACAAAAAGAGTAATCCTCATATTTCATCAAAGATTGAGAGAAATCGGGAACAAAGTACAGAAATAAGTGAATGCTTATTCATATGGAATATTACCTAGACTCATTTTAAATTTTAATTAAAAAATTAATGATCTGACACATTGAAATCTCCATGATTACAGATTATATCAATCTTTCTGGAAAATAATCAAATGTCAATCATAGAGATAAATTTCCTATCATGCAATTTAAACGCTCTTATTAAAAGATTTCCCCACATTATTTAAATAGTTTTTGTGATGGTTAATTTTAGGTGTCAAGTTGATTGGATTAAGGAATTCCTAGAGAACTGATAAAGTATTACTTCTGGGTGTGTCTGTGAGGGTGGTTTCCAGAGGTGACTGGGGTGAGTCAGCAGACTGGGTGGGGAAGATAGACCCTCAATGTGGCCAGGCACCCTTTAATAGGCTGTGGTCCTAGATAGAACAAAAAAGACAGAAAAAAGACAACTTTCTCTCTCTCGCTCTCTGTCATACATGTGCTCTTTGTCTTTCTGCTTTCTACCATGGGATGACACAGCAAGAAGGCTCTTGCCAAGGGCCTCTTGAGCCTCTAGAATTGTAAGAAATATATCTCTGTCCTTTGTAAATTACCGACTTTCAGGTATTCTGTTACAGTGGCACAAAATGGTGTAAGAGAATTTCCTTCCTTCATTGTCCAGAATTTTGTTTGAACCACTGATCATCATGCTTACCTCCTTTTTAAGTTGGTATTTGGACAGTATGGTACAGGCTTTAGATCTAGTGGATGTGTGATTCCTTGCTGTAACAGATAGGAGGACAGTCATCCTCTTGCATTTGACAACAGGCCCTACTTTTAGAGATGTCCTGAAGAAGCAGGAGAACTTGTTACTGCCAGTAAGAGGCGCTCAATCGTACGAAAACCACCAGTTATCATTTTGAGGCAATGGATAGCAACCCTATAGAAAACGCTAAATAATTCCACGCAGCCAATCCATTTTGTTAGTTGCCTGGAGGCTTTACCTATTTTCCTGGTTTGTCCTGGAGGGCTAGCTGAATGCAATGTTGCTTAAAGTTTTGTTTAATAGAAGCAAGTATTTCATGACTTCTGCCTCCACACTTTCAAGGCTCAGGAGACATCATTTATGCATTAGGGAGTGTAACTCTGGGGCTTCCATTGT